CGTCCAATTCTGCTTCATTATCTCCTAATCTTATGTTACCTCGCCATGAATCATTCACATGATAAATATACTAAATAAAACCTGTCAATACTAACCCACGGTTATCGCAGCGGTGGATGAATTGGGTTCCCCTTACATTTCACCATAGCACACAACGGTGTCTGAGTATTTGTAAACTTACGAGATTGTTGAGGCTGTAATCCTTTCAGACCTAGTTATCTGAGTTGTGTCATGTGTTCGTAAGTGTATCTGCTTGTGTAAGTAACTCATAGTTTAATCTCAATGGATTCAATTTAGACAGCAGTATTCAAAGTTCGTACTATGCATTGAGTGCTAGGCACTAAGAAAATTTAACTTGTATCTAAGCGGTTAAGAATATCTGTCTGGAATACATTCGTACCAATAAAGTAACTTAAACTCAGCAATGTTTTGTAAACATTTCGCCTCAGTTTTTCCGCCAGGGCTTAGGAAACTGGTAAGCCCTAGGTGATAGGCCGGCGGCCAAAAATAACCACCACTGGCAAACTGCACTTATAAAATTAAATATCGTCTTTTATATATAGAAACATTTCAGACCTTTCTGCGTTTGTGATGTATCGTTTAAGTTTCACTCCATAATACTTAGACAATTGAAAGGCGTTTTGTTAAGGATTTACATTAATGACGGACTGGTTTCTCTCCAGCAAGTTACGACTTTGTCCAAATAAGGGCGAATATCTACGAGCTTTCTGGTAGCTTTCACAAGCTGAGTTAAAAATGGAAAGCATAACTGGATTGCTTACATTTGATTCTAATAGAAAAGTACTTTTAGGTGTTAGTGGCATACTTTAGCATAGAACCTTTTGATCACAATTAAAGTTCGAAAAAATGATATGACAGCCGTTGATTTGTAGAAATCATACTGTCCTTTCAAGTTAGTTATTCCTGGTAATGGTGGCCGGATATTATGAAAAGCATAGAATCCAACGAGCGATACGACACAACGTGCCACATGGTTTGAGACTTTGTTTAAATTGTTCCACGTAAATTGCATACTTGGAAAACCGTTTTGTATACACTTTCATCTATAAATGCAAATTATCTTTAATGAATAGCCGCTACTCATGCAAGCTGCTCCCGGACTGGATGCCTTTATCCTTACTCGGACGGCGCTTGAAAGCGCGTGTTTGTAGCTCCTTGTCTAACTCGATTAAAGGTTACTGCCGCGTCGCTTAAGGATCCGCATTAGAACCATTACCGCTAATGTTCACAAACGACCTCGTGGGAGTCGATTTCTACTCTTTGAAGACGAACTCAAGATTTGGTGGGTAAGGGAGTGAGTAGACGACCAAATAGCACTGCAAGGTGATATGGATAAGGCTTTAGAGTAGTCGACTCGGAACATCCCTGAGTTTAACTCTAGCGATTGCCCCCAGAGTATTTACAAACATTGACTGAGAAAATATTTCTTTCAAGACACCTTTCTTGAAAGCGATCATAGTGTGTTCTTGTGAGAGCATCTCGGCTGCTTAAGGGTGTTGATAGGTACTGAAATAGTACATTAACACTTAGGCCTACCGCGGAGGAGATTTGGCTGGTTTGATCCCACATTTTTCCGCGAATTCTCAGCGCGTACACTAGGCCACAGACCAACTAAGTTTGGCTCCTTTGGCAAAAACGTGACTTCACTTCTTTTGCTTATCCACAGCGTAGAGTGGTAAAATTGCTGTGAGATTTCCGACCTCGCTTACCAGTCTAGGCACCCCACCCATACCGAAAAGTATTGCAACTCAACCGGATCTCACTGAGAAGCCGTTAGGTAAAAGTGGGCACAGTGTAGTCGGTTGTAATGCCACTGGAATGTTTTCTACAGTCATTTGACGTGAAATTTACTACGTACTTTTTTCATCGCGCCTACGTTGGCCGAATTCAAAACTCGGATTTTTGTAGCATTTCACCAGCTGCTTTGCATAATTTAACCCAAGTTACAGGGACATGGGACAAGGCAAATAAATTATGCGCACGTATGAAATTCGTGCTAAATTCACTGCTACGGGTATTTTATACATCTAACTTTCATGTTATTGTTTACCTACGGAAAGCTCTTGGGTATTTGCTTACTTATCCGTGATATAGCCATGGTGCCATTGTTCCTAGTAGTTGCTTCTAGTGTATTTTGAGGGCTTGTATAAAGCAAATTACGGTCGGCTGAGCATTGGGAATAAACATGCCGGGAAACCAAAGTTACGTTACCAGGACATGATCAAAGTGAGCCTGTCAAGTTCCAATCTTGATTGCCAGTCATGGGAATCAAAGGCGGATGATCGGTGTGCATGGCGCAATCTAATCAGGAAGACAGTTGCTGAAGTGTGGGAGAAAGACGTTATGCATGCAGAGAAGAAACGGCAAATGCGGAAGAGGCAAGCACCGATGGATTTTACTCCATCGACATCAAGCGCATGGTGCTGTAGCACATGCGGTGGCGAGTGCCTTAGTCAGGCAGGCCTAGTGAGCCATGAGAGAGGTCACTCGGGACCACTGCCGAAGCGACGACGGGTCCCGCAGTGAACGTAGGCAGCACCGGCGCAGCGTTTGTAGGCACACTGAATTCGATTTACTAACCGCATGCTTGCATGCTAAGTCTCTTTATTTCAGGTGGTGGGTTTTCAACTTTGTCCTAATGCTTTTCTTTCCCAAATAAATGCCTACTTATACTCTCTTCTATACTCTTACACACGTCGCTTAAGCCAATTGTAGTCAATTCCCATAACATGTTCGTGTTTGTGGCATTTCCGTAAACCATACTTTCTGACCTCGTGAAGTCACCTCGGACTCTTTTGTAAACAACTTATTTCATATGCTCATAAAGATTTATGTCACCGTATCCTTCTGCATTACTCGATTTGTATTCTTGGATATCTTTCTCTCAAGTGACTAGGTGTTGCTTGATATCCCCAGTGTGGCTGCGCTTGATGTGCATGTTGACAAGGTGCCTTCCTGTCTTGTACCCACTACCACGTCCATACTGGCTACAAGAGGCAGTTTGTCGTTACTGGAGGGGACGGGGTGCACCGTCCTTGTGGCCGTGTTAAGATCAAAGTGGTTTCGTGCACTCAGTGTGGAACGGACTACGATCCAGCCACCGCCTTGTGTGCGCTTGATTCCCCAAATACAGCGTGCTTGTGTTTGTCTGTGAAGCAGTGTGGACCGGCTCCTTTGATGAAACGTGGCTCCCATCCACATGCCTTCCGGTCTTATTCCTTCGGACTTACACTGGACATGGGGTGTGTGGATGGAGCTGTGGGTGGTGCAGCGCAAGCCACCCATTGTCCCTCTGTAGGCGCAGGCGTCCTGTGGCTGACCACAGTAACAGGCAAATCTGAAACCGGATGTCGCCAACCATAAAGCAAACTGTTCTTACGGACACAGACTAGGTTATTCCTGCTCTGTATATAGCATGCTGTTTAGCCCAAACCGCACCAGAGGCTGCCAACATTTTTGAACAACAATTTGACCGTACCTTCTAAGGCGTGCAATTAGCATACATCCTGCCTAAGTAGATAAAGCTGCCATCAGGGCTTAATCACACATCGCTTACCTCCGCAGCTGGACCCCGCCTGTACCTGGTTTTGATAAATGATTTTGCGAGCGTGCTATCTTCTAACTGTTTGCTATTTGCTGATGATCTGAAGGTATGGCGCACTAAAGCTGCAGTGGAGGATCACACAACGCTACAGGAGGACCAGAACAAAGCGTACTCATGGTCCATCGAGAACATGTTACATTTCAACGTCACCAAATGCAAAGTTTTCAGCATAAGACACAAGGGTATGCACAAGTACCACCTAGGACCACAAATTCTACAGCGGGCTTCTCACGAGTGCGATTTCGGTGTGATTGTTGAAGATGACCTCAGTTGTTCGAGGCAGACTGAAAAGGCAGCTAAGAAAGCAAACCAGTACCTCGGCCTTTTTCGCAGAGCTTTCGGGAAGTTTGACCCTTCAGTTTTTCCCAAAATGCTTAGTGCGTCCGTGAGGTTGCACGCGGAAATCACTAGTCAAGCGTGGCAACCCTGGCTCAAGCACCATCGCACCGCGCTCGATACTGCACATTGTAGGGCAACGAAGAGCGTCAGAGATTGGACCAGCCTCCCCTACCCACTCAGGCTGAAGACTCTCAAAATATCCAGTGGACGTTATCGGCGTCTAAGGGGCGATCTCACAATGGTGTACCTGCTCCTGAGAAACCCCAACCACCCATGCCATTCCCTTATAATACCCAGTCAAAACACCCCGCTAAGAAGTCACCGGTTTAAGTTAGGCACGCAGTGCAGCCGCCTCGAATGTCTGCGAAACTATTTCTCCGTTCGAGTGTCACAGCCTAGGAACGCCCTCCCGGAACATGTAATTAATGCACCCACCCTATCCCTATACAAAAAACGCCTTGACGATACTCAGTCACATTTACACTATGTGCTATAGCCCACGACCACCAGATGCTGCCACTAATAAACAACAGACAGTGAACAGTGCCATAAGCCTTCTCGAGAATGAATCACTCCAAACGTCTTGCATAAAATTTGATAAACGCTACTACTATAGAAAATGGATTTCTGTATCTTGTCGACCCAAGATAGTTGCATACGAGTAAGCGTTGTCCTTGCTATCTTTTTTTTATTTTTCGCGCCTATTACTTGATCAATAACCACTCTCCTTATGGCTTTGTGTGCGCACATTCTCATTTCAAACTCCCTTTATACGACAGTGCAGTTAAATCTGTAATCGCCCGAACCTACGATTCCATTATCCTTTGATCTAGGTTTTCTCACTCTAAACAACCTTGGGGACATGTCAAGCACCTGTTTTTATCCGTTATAAATCATTGTTCATTGTTCATTCCTTGGCGTAATGTTATTGATGAATGTAACACATATAGTATACAATGCGGTGTTTTGCACGCTCAGTAGTATCACATATTTATGGGTCTACCAGGTTAGATCAAAAAGCAAATCTTGCACCTAGTCAGAAGGCTAAGTTGAACTTACCAATTGTAGTGATGACTGTTAGGGCATATAGCAGAGCGCCTGTTAGCGACCAGGAATCTCGACTGTTGGCCATTCTTGGAGTGGTTTTCGGAACCTCCAAATCCGCTGAATGTGATTTACAGGCGTATGTGTCGTTTTCACCACATTCTTTGGCGTGTAAGAAAGAATCATTGTATAATCCATTGAGGCAATTGCCACAACTGCTTTGCAAGAAGCCGTGTGCAACTGCCGGTCGCCATCCGGAATCGCAAGCCCTGTACGCAGCATGTACTAGGTCTTCACTGTAAAGCGCAGCTAGCTCAATGGACTGAGTCACCAGTTCTTCCAAATGTTTGTGCCTCTCTTCTGTTTCTTTCATCGAATTTGACCCACTTTGCATGTTAAAACGAATTTCTTGTGTGCGGTCGGTAAAACCAGAATTAATTTTAGGATCATTTGTTTCATTTGTTAGTGCGAAAGGCTTAGTCAAAGATGGGATCCTAGAAGAAGACTGGCCAGTAACGTATTCTTTCTCCTGATCAGATGTCCCATTTAACGCTTCCTCTAACCTTTGTCCTAGGTGTATAATACAATTGTTAAGCAATGTGTGTCGAAGCTTCCAAATAACTCTTTGGATATCTTGGTAGCTCTTAACCAATTCGGCAGAGTGTTTGTGCATTAAGTCGATTTGATGGTCTTGTTCAATGCTTCGGAACATAAATGCCCCAGCTGCGCAATATCCAGTCACCAATAAACATAGGCCTATGTGAGAGAAGAGGAAAGCTACAAACGTTTTACAATATCTTGCTGTCCTGACACATCTTTTTCCGGAGGTTAGCTTTCCAGAATCTGATTGGGTACGTGATAGAGGGAATGGGTCTTCGTCCGGCTTATATGACAACAGTTGCTCGGAACCAATAGTACGTTTCGGAGAGCCTGACGCATCATTGAATTCGGATTGCTCTAAATTGATCGCAGTTGTCTCATCCATGTGGGTGGTAGTGGATTTTCTTGGTTCGAAACCGTGTGAGGAATTTGATCCACGTCTAGTGGTTACCGGTGATGTCGATATTGCCAGTGTGTGTTTGGGCAGTATTGTCGCATCCGCATACACCGGACTGTCGGCACAATTTATCTCAGTAGGATGCACCAAATTCCTGATGGACGTGTCTTCTAGTGAGAGCGTCAATACCGGGTTGGTGACTCTTTGAAATCGTGGCAATACAGAGTGCTTGGGTATAGTTGGAACGTAGAACACTGTGGGGAGTCTTTCCTTGTTCATAATGGTTAAAAAGTTGAAGTGTATGAGCCGCTTTTCTAGCCGTCATGGTTGGCGATTCTGTAGGGAATTATATCATACCGGACTGTGTTGACGACAATGCAAGAATTGTACAAATTTCTATTGGCTGTTAGATGGGCGAATGGAAACTAGAATGGATACCTATCACGATCCAATCAAGCTTCTGATACGTTCAGGATGGTAGTCCCAGCTAAGCTTTAAGATTAGTGTAGAAGGGGACCTTTGAACTGGTTTCAAAATATTTACATTAGAAGTAGTTTCAGTCAGATAGTCCTGCACATCCGTAAAAGTCTTCATCATTCTGGGCTCATCTTTAGAATGGAAACAGAATCTGTACCCAGAATAATTTGCAGCTTTAGTTATGAATATAACTTTAACATTAATAATTAGAAGATAAGTGCTTTCCCCTAGTCAGAGCTTCTGCGCTCAGCGTGTTTATAGTACATAGTTGGTAAAAATTGGAAATTGTTTATAGGTATTTTGAGTTTGGAAATGGAAGAGTTGGATTCCTTTTAGTGGCGATTCATAAGTGTTGCTTCTAACCAGACAGCTACTGCACATTTCGTAGGGCATTGAACGGACTCTTCGAACTTCCGTAAATCGCCAGCTGGGAGTTATGCATCTGATGATGGAGAGATTAGGACCTGGGGGTCACTAGTTAAGAGCGCGTAGCCACATACTTTGGGCGACAACAAGGGTGTAAATAAAGCCAGACTTGTTTGTTTTGACTACTAGATATACCATCGAGCTGACAAGATAGATATAGGACACTTAAAAAGACTAGTAGACAAAAGATACACAATGTGTCCGTTAGAACTGTGACATTTGGGGACATTTGTTAGTTTTAACGTTTCTTCAGCATAATTGTAAGTTTTGGTCCAGAATAAATTTGGGCCGAGAAGCTGGACTTCTTCCAACCAGAAGCGTAACCATATCGGGCCTCAAGCGAATCGACAAGTTGAGCGTGCAGATATTTCAACTGACACGAAGAACCAACTTGAGTAAACCATTCCCCGACTTTACTTTTAACACAGATAAAGAGTTTAGAGAAAAACTTACTAATCCACGTTAAATCGATTAAAAGAACACCAAACATTAGAAATGTTTAGGAAGGTTATTTACACGTATAGGGCTATTATCTACAATGATCTGTTCCCCATTTACGGCGTTATGTTAAAATGATTCGGCGCTGATTTAATTGCTTATTTGTGGCTCAGACCACCAATTTGATGAAAAACGCAAAGAGGATAAGAGCAGTGTTAGACACAGAAGGACGCGTTATCGAAGGCGTGATAAGGAGACACCAGACTTCTCAATTGATTTAAGTATATACTTTTAGCATTACGTTTTCCTGGCTGAACGCTACAATGGTTTCATCAGTCTCATCAGTCGTAACAGTAAATGACAATTGATGCAACCGTTATAACACAGTTTAGAGTCTCTTATGCAGTTTTTCAGTTTTTCAAACTCGGCACACCTAACTTTAGATCGATCGGACTTGAAACAGACTTGTTTTAACGCTTCAGATTTGTTCTAATTTGCGGAGCAAATCAGTTAAGACAGCCAGTAGGTTTGATCAGTAGTAGTTAGCTTTTTGAGACTATTCACAGTGATGCGCTTTGCCTCATAGAAGGAGATTTTCAAAGTGGGCGGTGGGGTAGGAGTGGCGGTTAGAAAACTGGGACTAAACCTCGCACGTATTGGAAACAAGCGGTAACAACAGTTGGTTGGACGTGATGATGGGCGAAACGGGTCCGAACTTGCAACATGGGATGTAGAACACTGAGGAGGAAAGTTATCCTGACGGCATAAGTAGTTTGTGAATGAGCATCACTTACTGTCAGACACGGATAAGTAGCAGAATTTATTGTGGAGGAAGCGAACTTTTAATGGACGAAAAAGCAAAGCGCGCAGTACTGCTTACAAGAAAGTATTCTGCACGGAACTAGTTCAAAAACAAGTGAAAATCTGATAAGAAGGAAGAGGAATTGGAAAAGGGCATCTGTAACATTTAAGGCCGTGTTTAACGCTGTCATCCTAAAAGACCATGTCATTCTAGACGGTCAGTAATTTGAACTTTAGTCACTGCAAACAACACACAACTTAGAGCAGTTGAATAATATCTTACAAATGTCTATAATGAAATATTAATTTGCAAAGCAGGGAACTCGAAGCCACGTTGGATATCGGACAATTCAACAGCCCTTGTTCATTTGGTAGCTCCATTGATATTAATAGTGCAGCTGCTATCAAATAAGTCCAAGAGGACATTTTTTGCATCAAGTTGAGAGATTACATCGCGGGTGACGCCGAATTAAGTGGTTCAGTTCTTAAGAAGCATTCCGGCCGTGGTCTGGTTCAAGCGATCATTTTGCATGCTAAAAGCTTGTCCAATCAGGCGCATCCTACTTCACAGGCTACAGAGCTATGGAATCGGAGATCTTGTTCTTTGTTGGATTGGAAATTTTCTTCATTAACGGAGTCTTCAGTTAGGTGTTAGGGGATCACTCTCCAACCCAATACAAGTGAAATGTGGTGTTCTGCATGGCTCTATACTGGGACCGCGCCTATCACGGGTTTATCAACTACCTGACAAGAGTAATCTTCTCCCCTTTGCTGCTTTTCGCTGATGATGTCAAGATATGGCGGGCGATCGGAAACAAGGAATACCAATATACATTTTAACAAAACCTGGATTTAATTTAACAATGGTCAACAAGGAACCTACTGTAGTTGAACACAGCAAAGTGCAAGGAGATCCACCGACCTCACCAACCGGTGAGATTGTACAAACTTGGAAACCACGCTTCGCAGAAGGACTTTCCGGAGTGTGGCTTGGGTGTACTGGTGCTTGGCGATTTAGCATGTTCACGACAAACAGAGAAAGCTTTGGGAACCGGCAATCAACACTTTGTCCTTTTCGCCCCCTTGCGTTCGGTCGGTATAAACTCTCAAGCTTCCAATAACTGGCTGACGTCTACGGGCAACATCACGTGGAATAAGTCATCCAAGCGTAGCAGAAGCATGATCCCGTTGTTCTCGAGACACCTCAACAAAGTGCAACCAAGAACGTTAGAGACATCTTCCAGCTTCTCTACCAGCTTAGGCTGAAATTCCTCTCAAATTACAGCAGTTGCTATTGTCGTTTGCGAGGGGACCTCATAATGATTTACAAGATTCTGGAGAACCCAAACCACATTTGTCGTCCGTTGTTCGTACTGAGCCACAACCCGAAACTGCGCAATCATTCTATGAAGCTAGGCACTGCTTTTATTACCCATAATACACCATTGTTCCAATTGTACACGAGACAGCATTTTTACGCCTCCTCTCTGAGAGGTCTTTGGTTGGTATTCTGCACCCTTCATACTCGGTTTTGGTTAAACACACACCGAAAGTTCTTCTGTCCTTTTGTGACCGTGCGCAAAACGCAGTCCTACCTATCCCACTCCGAGTTAGTTTAAAAGACATGACTAAAGAACTTTTAAACGAATTTTAAACGGCTATTTTTGGATAACTCTACAGTTGGAAATTTACATGCTAAAGCTTTCCTTAGTAAAAGTTGTACTGCATATAGCCGGCTTCTGTACTGAGTACCAGATAAACGCAGACTATTTATAAAACAACGTGCGCTTTGCCTTATACTTTTTGCCCAAACATTAAAAAACCATTGTAAATTATTCTTCCTTATATTGTATTACATTTGTTTTTACTACAGAATTTGTGCATATCCAATTATACGATGCCAACTGTAATTAATGTCTTAGGCTGTGTACCAGAGTAATTTTGCATAATTATTTCAGTAACTTCGGTCAACAGGCAGAAAGCGTGATGTTTATCTATAGATCATTTTAAATCGCTTGTGTATTGAGGTACCTGATGTATATAGGTGCCATGCGTTGATACCTGATGAATAATCTTTAAAGCGTTAAATCTTGAAGGAAAATGGACATGGACGCAGGAAATCGTTGACAGTGTAGGGGTTCCTAGTTGGATCCATTATTTGCGCTGATGTATGACAGGCTTTCTTGTATTACGGATATTGAAAATTTACTGGCTACTCTGCCTCGATGACCTGCTGTAATGCAGAAGCTTATCTTCATTCCACACCTAAAACTGGATGAAGAGACAGCGTAGCTTTTCATCCACGAGCAAATCTGGCTGTCGATGCACAGAATATAGTGTTCGACGGCTCAGGTTCATGGCGTCACAATTTGATTCACCTATTACCAGTAAACGAAAGTCTTCCTACACTAATCATGCCAAGGAACCATTGAAAACGCCTTTTTACCAATATGGTGGTTGTAGTTGGCAGAAAGAAAGGTTTAAGGGGTTAAACCTAAGCATACTAACGTATTTTCAGCGGCCATACTGTAGTCAGAACATTCGTCCATTATTCGGAAACTCCATGCATCAAACCAACTTATGTCGTAACATTCCCTGTTGAATAAATAAAAGTCATAGCGTTAATTGAGGTCATTATTAAAAACACATAATCATGTTTTATTCCTTTTAATGTTTTTGTGCAAAGCTGTTGACGTTGGATGCATATGGACTAGTTTGTCAAAGTCCATTGGTTGCCCTCACGGTAGCCTAGTGGAACCAGCCAAAATGAATGTTAAATCTGGATGCTTCTTTTATTGTCATTTATATGTCAGGATTTCCTGTTACGTACTGTACTTCATTTGAGCAAATTCATGGTTGCTAGAGAGTTTTTCATGAATCATATATTTATAGGGTCTTCTCACAGCCTAACTTGCTCATGCTAACATTACTCCTACCAAGGAGTGTTAGACGGCTGTCCTGTCCTACTGGGACTCCTCGATGAGGCTCGTTGCTGGATCACAAAATATATTCTCACTCTCACGAGACAGCGAATTAGGGTAAACAGGAATGATTGCAGAGGCTGACTACCTTGACTAAATGCTAACTTCAAGTTAGTTTTTCTTATCCTCCATTTCCGTCTGTCTCGAAGAGCTACG